TTAATAGTTCAACCTGAATCGGAAGGAACTTAATTTTGTAGGACTCGATGCAAATGAAACAGTTGGGGCTTTCGCTATTTGTATACCCAGCTGTTATTGTAAATCAACAGATGAACCAATCGGTTTTTGCATTTTGACAAGACTACGTCTGCAAAGGAAAATCGGTTTCTGTAACATGCGTTGTTTAGTAACGGTTGGTACGTAAGTTAATATTTCAACCCCTAACTTTGTGTTGTTTAATTTAGCGAACCTACCCTTCGATTTTAAGCTAAAATGGAGATTTGGTTGTTTTCTTTCAATTTGTTGAATTTATATTCCTGATTAGTTGTTTGTAGAAGAAAACCACTTTTTACCTGATAGATAATTTTCCTTTTAAGTGCACGTGTTAGGCATAATAATTCCAGTAAGTAGGCCGACATACTCTTATCAGGTGCCGCTATTCCTTATTCAAGGGAGACCACAGTACGATCAAAGTAATCCCTAACACAGAAAACATCAATCGAGGTGGGTTAATTGAATCGTATATTGGATAACAGTTAGACAAAGGAGCTTTTAATGGCGAAACATCACGAGCTGCAAGGTACCTAATACTCCATCACAGGATATTTATTAACAGGAGTAGCAACTTTAGGTTTCGTTTTATAAATCCACCAACGGGGTGAACGAACCCTAAAGTTCTTACTCCTGTGCACTTTCGCAGCGCGACACGTGTAAAAGTTACCATCTATGCGGGGTCACAGCATGCACCGTCTACGTAATAACAATAACTGGCAAAGTTAAATAAATCCGCTGTGAAATGATTTAAACTGTCTTGCGACGTCTGGGGAATTACACAATAACAAATTAGAGCAGTATTCGAAAATGGTACGGAAATAGGTATTAAAACGCCATTACGCTGCAGACTTGAATCCTTTACAAGTAATTCAATTGCGCACCAATTTGCATACCTAATATGAAATGTTCATTCACATCTATACATTACTTCAGACTGTAGACAATTTCTCTCAAAAGTTAAATATATTAATTTACCATTAGAAATCACGTCCTAACACATTTCGGTACCATAGCAATTTGATACATTAACACCTTATATTTCTTTTGACTTTGATCTCTGGAAGTCATCTTCCTAGACTTTTATACTAATCGTAGGTACTGAGGGTAGTCGACAGCGACGCGACGTGCCGTCGATCACGTTGTGTAAGGCAAGAGTATAAATTGAGGTAAGTAATTATGTTACCTACTCAAAGCAATTAAATGCAAAGAGTACTATCAACGGAACAGAAGTACATGGTATCTTTGAACCTAGAAAGGGCATTTGATACGGTGCTACAAATAACAGTATCGGAATATACCTACAACGTGATCTGTACGAATTCCAATATAAATAGTTGGGTTATATAAGTCGCATGCATATAATTATCCAAAATATTGTTTTCCTCTTTGCATGTACTTTCCTCCAACATTCTTGAGATAGGTACTCACAGTAAGTTTTCACACCGCAGTAGATTTTCTTGTTTAGACAATCTTTCTTTCGTTTGCGAGTACCCTCCTCCGACACTCCGTTGTGCAGATATTTGCACTAAAGGTTTGGAAATGACCAGGTAGATAATACGTATTCGCTTCGACTTCACCAATGCAATGGATATGTCTAATCTCGACGGTCATTTTGATTTTGTGGATACTCTCCTCCGACAAACCGTTTTCGAGATATTCGCCTTTAAAATGTTGACATCATCAATGGATATATATTTCTACCAAAGTCCAGACGTCCCGATCGCCCTTTGTGAGTACCCTCCTCCGAAAATCCGCTCTTCATATACAAGGAATTATAACCGATCACGATAAGGGGTCGAGGAGGAATATGGTTGGTAGAAATTAATTCCTTTCATCGAGACCTTTCATTACAGGTACCATTAAGAATAAAGTCAGTATCTCTCCCTCGACGTAAATTTTGATCCGGGATAAGAGAGAAGTTCGGGGGCTAGGAGACAACAGTTCATTTCGCCGAGACCTTTAATTAGAGTACCAGGAAAGATAAAATCAATTTAAAAAAAATTAAGCTTGAGAATAAGGAAAAAATTTGTATTTTTCCGGATATTGGCTTAATTCTACATTTTTAAATGGGATCACATACGATTATTCAATTTAAACAGTTCAAAGTACTCTTAATAAATACAATAAAAAATGATAAAAAATATACCATCTCCAAAACAGTTAAAGTGAAGTGTGCTTGTATTCAGACGTCATTTTGTATCGAAATAAATAAAAAATACCGGGTGTTCCATTTAAAACTCTAAAAGTAAGCCAATTTCCTGAACCTAAAGTTACAAAAAACATTGTACCTTCAAGAGAATGCAAATTTTTGAAACTAGGTATAACGCTAGTTTAATGAAGCATTTCGGATGCCCAATGAGGAAATATGAAGTAACAGAACACACATTTCGACGAAATTAAGTTGTGCAAAATTTCGGGCTTCTTCCGCAATTTTTGTTGTTGAAAACTCTTAATTATTTATTTTTTGTTTGTTTATTTTGTTTTACCAGACACCATACAGAATAAAAAATTCCAATTACATGGCACTGGGGCTCTGAATATACATTAGGGCATAAGATCTAATTTGATTTGTTATTACATTTAGGGAATTGTGAAGTCGATATCATTCCCTGAGGATAACTTATTTAAAATGATCAAGATCTTAATAAGGGAAGGGAAGTTGTGTTGCTAACTGAAAAAATAGTATTATTTTTCTTTAGCTTAACAAATGGTACCTTAAGCTTAATTTCCTGAAGTAATTCGGAAGAGTTTAACAAATTATGTAAAATTTTGAAGACGAATCTTTATTAATTTCATGATCGTTGCTCAGGATTCGAAAAACGTCACGTACGTAGATGTCCATAATGATCACAATGAAAGAATGGAGAAATTAATTCCTTGTGTCCTTGTATTCAGACGTCATTTTGTATTGAAATAAATTAAAAAAATATAAAAATACCGGGTGTTCCATTTAAAACACTAAAAGTAAGCCAATTTCCTGAACCTAAAGTTACAAAAAACATTGTACCTTCAAGATCATGCAAATTTTTGCGTTATACCTATCAAAAATTCATTTCTTTACTTTAAAATTTACAACAGTTACAGGGGGGGGGGGGGCTTTTGAGAATCACCCGGTATACAGGTATCCTTGTTTTAATGCAACATTAATTGAAAGATTCTCATATTATGAGATCATGCAAATATCATATTATGATATTTTTAATGGCCGCTTAGGTAATATCTAAGAAATATTATCCTATACAGGGAGTTAAGATTTAAGCCAACAACCATAAGGCCCATATTAAGAATTGCAGGTTTTTAATAGGGTATTGTGTGTTCTTTTCGATTTTCAAAAAATTTTCCAAATTCCCCAAGAAGCGTTTCCCCATTCGTGATATAACATTTCTGAATTCGGCGAGATTGTAATCCAACTGCAGAACTGGAAATTTCCTGTGTATTTTACCGATTTTTCGCATTATTGGCTGATCTATTATTTTTGACGATGCCTTTGTTCAAAGACTTGCTCCCCATATTGAATTGGACCAAAAGGCAGTGAAATTCGTCGTTGCTTTTGGGAAGCTTCACTCCGTATAGCCGATGAATCCACTGGGCGTTCCAGTTGGCTAACCCCCGAGATAAAATGAATGTTTCCTCATTTTTATACTTTGTGATGAAAAATAAGCACCGAATACACCAAAATGAGACGTTGCAAACGTAGGCTAATACGATGTAATTAACAATAATGTAATAAAATCCGTTTTTGTGTGTGTGTGTGTGTGTGTGTGTGTCCTTTCCTACTTTGGAAACATTTTTTGAAAATGGATACTTATGTATACTCTACACTATTGACAATTTCCTATTGTATCTTATGGTTAATGGCCGCTGAACAAAACATCAAAACATTCATGTCAACGAATTGTTTTCATTCACTACGAGGGAATTTTTCCATAATATCTTGATAAACTGAGGCAGACGTCGAATTATTTATATTCATAATTTGGCTATAGTTCCACTAAGACTCATTAAAGAGACCAGAAGTTTAGAGTGTTCTAAATACATATGTGATCAAAGTTATTAATTTTATTAGGAATTAGCGCAAATCCGAAAAAAGCACATTACTGTTTAATGCTAAATTATTCATTTTCACTCTATGGCGGCTTTATTAAGTTTCATATTTGCCCTGCTGTTCATTCTCTTAGCCTACAAGTTTTGAACCGATTAATAACAGTACTTAGATTGTGACACAGTAATAAATTTTACGTGGAACTCCACTTGAGGGACGCACGAGAATAATTAAACAATTTAGATAATCGTATACACGCAACATAAATTTTGTTTCAGCCCTACAAAAGATTGCTTTTCGTTTTACGGGATATTAATACTAATGTGGACATAGAGTTACTGAGCGTAATCAAATGTGATGGTAATAATTGTAATTAACATTACGAAAACCTTGACCGTGATCTACTGTATAATTCTTTACCTTGTTGCCCATTGTGGTAGTTATGTAGATAGCGGTATTTTCGAAGTTCACTTTTAGATATTATGCTTTTAATAACAGGAGAGATGTAGGTTTTTTGGTGGCCTCTATAGGCCAAGGTCGTGCCCGCGTCTATCAATTTCTTTTGGTGAGTCAATGCTCGCTTGCAAGTGAAACCTTTCACTTGCATTATAGGGCCTTTCGCAGGCGGTACCCAAAACGACGATTTTCTGTATGGAGGTCAATCGAATCGAATACATTTTATAAGACAAGTTTTTTTTGTAACGGAAGTCATTTTCGTAAAAGTCGGTGGCATTTTTAGGGAATCCTAGTTAATTACTCATTTACTGCACTACATCCTAAAGCGGATGATAAAATTGTAGTCGTAAACTTGACCATTACCGAGAACTTTAAAATTACCTATAATGACGGTAACCAAATATTGTGGGCAGCGTCATCGATGTGGACAAGCGGCACCATGACCTCGATTCTTTAAACCAACAGCACAGCTAGTGAGTTAACAACGCTTTTGCAGTCATCAACCTGCAGTATTTGCAGAAGAACGGTGTCGTAAAGTTCCCAAAGTGACGGAAGTATCGGATGTCCGTGAGTTTTCGCGATATTACGTGCGGTGTTTGTACAATTACTACCCCAACAATTACAATGGGTTTATTTTTAAGGTAAGGACTTTTCAAGACAACGCCATTAACCTCATTTGCAAAGAAATAACCGAAAAAAGACGAAACTGTATATTATGAACTAAATACCAATGTGAGTAACAGAAACCTATATCAACATTTCATTATGATGGCTTGCGATATGCTGTGGATACTGATGCAAGTAGGTTGTTTTAATTAACATTGCTTTTACTGAAGAACGTAATTTTATTGGCACTGCCAACTATTTTTTAATTTACTGGATAATGTGGATGAAGGAGAAAGGGGGCTTAAGACTAGAATGTTTATAACTCCATTTAACTTCTGTTATGTATAAATAACGTCGGATAGGTTTCGAACCTGATCAAAGAACGGCTCATATATATTTCATAGAAAAGGAGTCTGAAATGGAGCAATAGTACCTATTACAACGGACGAAAGGTCGATTTTTGACTTCCGGTCTTCTGAGCCGTCTGGACTTTCTCCAACTTCTGTAGATCGCATAGATTATGTAGGTTATATAAACATTTAGAAGCACGCAGAACTGGCAAATTTGTAGGTTTTCTAGATTGTATAAACTTTACAAGCTTTTTATCTTTCGGATACTGTAGATCATGTTGATTTTCCTGACTTTCTGGATATTCTACGTTTACAACCGACATATTTCTCTATATCTCTTGGATCCTCTCAATTTTCTGGATCCTCAAGATCTGCTGAATTTTCCAAGCATTCTAGATATATTAAAGATTTTTTACCTTCAGAGTCTACTGGATCGATGGTTTATGAACCATTTAGAGACTAGTTTTCTGGAACGCTTAGATCCTATTATGGCTCTACTATGTCTTACTCCTACAGTGGAGGAATTGTAGCAGGAATAAAAACGATATGGTTTCTGGCATACGTGGGCGATATGGTAATAATTATAACGGAGGAAAAACGGAAAGTGATTGCTATATCCCTCTATTTCTGTTTCGCTTTTTTGTTCTTTCGCTGTATAGTCCTTTGGTTTCTCGTTTGGTTCTATTGTACCTATTTTCGTTTTATACCGCTTTCGTCCTACCGCGTTTTCGATCTTTTTCTCTTCAGCCCCCGGTCTTCTTACTCTTCCACTCTATTGCTCCTTCGATCAGTAGCCCATTTGCCCTTCCCGCTTCCGGTTTTTCATTTCTTTTCCGGTCTTTCATTTTTTAAATTTTTTCTTCGCTTTGCTCTTTGGCTCCTTTGCGTTTCGCTCGTTTGTTCTTTTGCTCATTTGCACTTTTGCCTTTAGCCCTGTAGCTGTTTCACTTTGCCTGTCTTCGCCCTAGCGCTCTGACGCTTTTTAAATTTCGATTGACCCTGCTTGGTTTTTTCCATTTTTTAATCTTTCCGTGTTTTGGGCTACTGTTAGTTCACCGCTTCGTTGATTGGTGAGTTTGCCCCAATCGGTTTTTCGCTCCATACCTCTATCGCTCTTCGATTTTTTCTCAATTGTTGTTCTTTCGATCACTTACTTGTCCGCTCTTAGGCTTTTTCGCTACCTCACTCATTTGACCGTTCGCTTTTACGCTATACCGCTCCTTCGTGTCCTCACTCCTTTGGTTCTTCACTCGTTTCCTACCACGGCATTGGTAACCCTGCTCCTTCCCTCCTTTGCTTCCTTGCCACTTTGCTACTTTGCCCATTAACTCTTTCACCTTTCGTAGTTTCAACTTTAATAACTTTTTCCTCATTGACAGTTTTAGCGTTTAAATCGTATAATCTTGATACTTTGACCCCTACACTCGTTAGCACTTTGATACTTCTTACAAAGTATATAGAAGTCCTATGCATAAAAATTGTTGTAATAACCCAATTCAGCCGAGAAACGACCGCGCAACCCAAAAACAAAAATCAAAACTTCGACAAAAACTAACTGAATCCCACGGCACATAATCGTTAAGTAACAAACCAGTCTAGTGATAGGACCTACGTTGTGTTGTGAAAAGGATAGCTCGAGAATGTGAGTGTGTCAGCCGAAATGGGGAGGTGTGAAATTTAATTAAAAACGTTAATAACAAAGATTCAAATCCAAATTCAATTTAGGGGTTGCCCCCTATTAATCACATGAGAATAGCTTTAGGGACTTCATTGATTACAAGGAAGGAAAAAGAGGCATTGAAAACTTTCCAGGATATGGAGTCACTTACTTTCCTCTAGTCCAATTTGCATATTACAATTATAATAGTTTTCAGCCTATACAACATCGGGGAATTTTATTTATTATTTATTTATGGGACATAACCTGCATCATTATAGTATATTTCAAAATTTGGTTTTGCGCATGCGCAGTGCATTTTTTTTTATTTATGGAAGAATTTAAACGAAATTTATCCATAGGCACTTGGGATAAAGGAAAATCAAACGCCAATTTCAAAATTTGGTTTTGCGCATGCGCAGTGCCAACTTTTTTTATTTATGGAAGAATTTAAATGAAATGTGATACATAGGCACTTGGAATAAAGGAAAATCTAGCGCCAGTTTCAAAATTTTATTTTGCGCATGCGCCGTGCCAACTTTTTTATCTATGGAACTATTTAAGTGAAATTTGATGCTTAGGCGCTTGGAACAAAGGAAAATCTTAGTTTATTAGTTAGTCATAGTAAATTAGTTTTAAAATTTAGGTTTGCGCATGCGCAGTTCCAACTTTCTTATTTAGAAAAGCATTGAAATGAAATTCTTCTCAATAAACTGAAATTGAAAGGTAGCACTGTCAACAATGGATTGCCATGTGCAACGCTATCTTTCATATTTGTGGCCGGTTTTTTTACGATTTTAACAGAAGTTGCATCTTACAAATGGGAAATGAATGCAAGTGGAAATGCGCTTTATGTAAATCGTTTACGATTACTTTTTAACTTGTTTTGTTTTTCGACCATTCGCTCGGTTCTTCTCATTCTCGACCTTTACGTGTTTCAGGCTTTTGTTCTTCACCTCTCCTCCTTCGCTCGTTAGTTATTTTGCTCGAATCGCTTTATTGTTCCACGCCTCTATCGCGTTTGCGTTATTTCTCTCTTCCTCCTTTTCTTCCTTGCCTCTTTGCTACTTTGCCCTTTCGCCTGCTCTCCGTTACCACCTTCTGCCTTTCGCCTTTTAAGGTTTTTCTCAATGTTTAAAACTTATTTTGATATTTTAACCCTTTTGGTACTTTGATATTCCATATGCCGTCGTTGAACATCCTGTACAATGCACACTATTACTACGTACTGTGAATGAATTTAAGAAAATCAACGGGCAGCTTTTAATATCACAAACAGAATCAATCTTACTACGTATGTGTCTGAGATACAGGGTGAAATCGAAAAGTTTGACTTTTTATGGTGTTATCGTACCTTTACTACCCATGTAAGATAGAAAAATTTAAAAACCGCTTATTTTAGATGTTTTTACGTAGAACCCAGTGGCGTAGTCGAAAAAAATGTTGGATCACCTTTTCTGAGATTTGATCCAAAGTTGGTATTTTTTAAATGCAACACCCTGTATATTTGATGGTACATTTTTTGCATCCTTTTTTCTGGTTACAACATAATAATATATTGTTTATATAATTATACATTATATTATCTCATATTTTTCAAAATGACATGTTCATACCGTCCCCAAAAGTCAAACTTTTTGTTTTCACACTGTATATCAGAAACAAACGTAGGTAGGTTGATTCTGTTTATGGCATTCAAAGTTGCACTGTCGAAGAGTGGGAAAAGCGCAAGGACACACTGTACATTACGAAAATGCGCCAAAAAGTGTGCACCAGCACCAGATGGGCATATTTTATAACTCCCTCGTTACCTTCTGTTGATTTTCATACGTATTAGGTATGCTTTAAGGATCCCAGACCGCAATGGATCTGACAGCCATATTATATCCTCCCTTATTGCTTAGTTACTTAAATCATTCATGATTCAACGCATACAGTAATTAATGTCAATGACGGAAAGCAATGATATCCGAAGATACCGTGAAATCAGAACTTGTTTTAGTTTCGGTTTCAGTCAACTAACTAGGTAGAAAATCACTATTCTTCTTTGCGTGATAGCCGTACAAGCATGTAGTTAATATTGTACTATAAATTTTGTAGATGAAAGTGCAAAGAGGTAATTATAGGTAGCGAAAGAGGTTACCTTTCATTGTGATTAGGTAGTCCTCATTCCTTATTGTCTATTAAACGGAAGATAATTTCTAAACGGCAAAAAATTAGCGCATATCTTTGTAATTACTACAAACAGAGATTTTCCAAACACGAAATTGCTTTATGACCCTTTTTTGTGACAAAATTTGTTCCGGGCATACTATTGAATGGAGAAGAAATTTGTTTTACCCACACATTAAGATCGTTTCAGTTGCTTGAAGCATTTCTGTTTGAGACTCATTGCTTTATTTTACCTAATAGAATTCTCGAAAATTCAACGTGCAGACCATGTCGGAACAGTTCTCGTTATTTTTCAAGTAAGTCTCTTAATAGCGTAGCAAGGGCTTTACCAAAGTTTTGGTCTAAAACAAACTTTGCCACGTTTTGTAGGCTCTCATTATGCCAAAGCGCGAACAATATGAAAGGCCCCAGACATAAACCAGCCGGAAGGGTGACAAATTAGTGTACCGGTACACAAAGGTGTTACGATGAGCAGTTTTCTATGGACAACAAAGGATTTTAGCCGCGAGCGAATGGGAAATGAAATATTAGCACGTTTGTATCACTGGTAGTCTCATTTATTAATTTTCTAAATGGGTGCATATATTGAAACAGAAAACTGCATAATTAATTGTGGCATTCTAATAAAATCTTTCATGAGCAATCTCAGAATTTTTGTAGCAACAGTCAGTGATTATGCTTACAACAATAATAGATAACAACAGCATAATTAGATTAGATTAATTAGAAAGATGAAAAAAGAATGAATATGAATAAACCTGGTCATTTCTTGATTAAAATGCATGTGGTTACCTAAAATGCATGTTACGGAAGTTTTTCAGTACGTTTAACAGACTGATAAATAAAGATTGACTTTTAAAAAAAGAAAAGATTTTTACTAAAAATTAAACTTTCGGATTGTAAGACAAAAAGGGCCCCAGATTTACACAGAGTAAACCAAAGTTAAACTGACAGACTGCTAGAGCTGATACAGGAACCCACAATTGGCCGATTTAGCCTAATACATCATTATATTGAAATTGATACTATCAGGAATGTAGTTCCGTATTTGGTCATTTCTTTTGATAACAAAAAATATGACAAACTCAATCACCATAATTTTCATACGAGGTTTCATAGTCATTGCATGATTGAATAAACAAATTTAAAAAAAAATGCTTTGTCTTTCAAACTGGGTAACTTTTTTTTTTTTAAATGTTGTTACAGATAGTGGAACCCTAAGACAACCATTTACAAAAATTGTCCCGATGATTCTTGCAAGAAGACAGGCTGTGGAATTTTTGTAGTTAACTAACAAATGGAAACCAAAGTAAAAGCACATCTGTTCAAAATGGCTATCCCCATTTTTAACGCGGACCATTGCAAATACATGTAGTTAATATGAAATGAAAAATTAAATTGCTACTCCCTTTTTAGTGTAGAAGACATGGGAGATTCGTCTTCTTCATTCAGTTAATTAATAGAGGATCACGAAATATTCAAAACCTTATAGTAGTGGTGAGATGTATTTAACATATGTAAGAATGAACGTCAGATTTAGATTTACATATGTCGTAAGAATGGTGGTGGCTTTATCTGTTTGCAAAAAAATTCGTCTTGAGTTTGTATTTTGGTAAATATAGAGAAATTTATGCATGTACCGCTTCATAGCAAACCTCAAGGAACATCTGGCGATAACAAGCCATATCAAGAAAAGTATTGCGAAAAGGCGAGCACGTGATAGAAATGTGGGTTTTCTATTGGTTTAAAGGGGTTGAATTGGAGTTGAATTTCAGAAGAAGGGGCCTATTTTCAGAGGGTCTAATGGGGGAGATTCTTCCTTGACTTCGTGAGCCGAAACGTACTATTTGGGTGCGTTAAAAATTGAGATTCAAAGAGAAAATACCGAGCAATCGCGTACACTGATTGTGCATGAGTTTTTCTACTATTAAAGATTTGTTATAGATTGTTTATAGCGAATCATTGAGCACTACTTTAAGTGCGTTGAAATTTAATTTTTAGCGAGTTTCTAAGGGCAGGCGCGTGTCATTTTGTACGAGAGATTTTAAATCCCGTATGAGGGCGTATGGGGCGAAGAAAAACTTTTTTAGCGGCCCGATTCATATCAAGGTCGTTTAAGTTAGTAAAGTTAATACACTTAAGCGAAAGTAAAAATCAATTTTTTGGGAGATTACGGTTTTACACCTCAGAAATAAACATTTGTGTTTAATGGCATACGATAAAAATTGTGAAGACAATAAATTTGTGCATCTTGATCGCAATAAAACGTAGTAATAAATTTGGCAAAATTTAATACCAACACAGTGGATTTAATGCCAAGTTTTTGTAAATCGTATATGGAATTACGATCCGAATTCAAGTAGTCTATAAAAAGATTAATTTAAGAAGCAAAAAATACACCAAAAATTCAGAAAGGCGAAACTGACAACATGGATTACTAAGAAAGCCAAGACATTTTTGGAAACTTGGAAATTCAAGAAGAAAATTTGGGGGGCGAGAACATGCAACAGGAGTAACCCAGAGTAAGTTAAAAAGCAATACTGAAAAAAAACAACATACAGAAACAGCAAACCAGGAATATATTGAAGGAGAAATGCAGCAACTAGTTTGGTCACAGAATTCCAGTTATTGTCCCCTCGCGGTAAAAAGTATTAGTCAGCACACACATCTAGCAATTCGATAATTTCCACAAATGTAAAAGAATGACCAAAAATATAAATTAAACTTCGAGTCAAAACAACCATAAATTAAGCAAACATTTACACCAAAAATGAAAACGATTTCAAGAAATAAAATTTAATGGCATTTTTCATACACATGACCAAGCATTGAAGTTTAAGGTAATTACTAATGATGTTTATGATTTCAAGCATACATAAACCCAGTTCTATTTATCATACATAGAAATAAAATGGTTACATATGCCAAGCTTGGAAATCACGCTCCGTTAGTAAGACATTCGCACTTGAAGTTTTGATTCTTCCTAAGAGAACGTCTCACCGAATTTTGTTATTGTCTCTTCGTGAATACCCACTTCGAGTTATAAATCTCGGTGACCAATGGTCCGAATGGAACATGAAAAAGTACAATTGGGTGCGTCTAGACAAGACCGACACTTTTCTCTTTGTGGGTAACCACTTTCGACGCGCCGTTAGAAAGATACTCGCATTTAAGGGTTTGAGTCTTCTGGTAGAAACGTCTCGTGTATCTAGTATTGTCTCTTTGTGAATACCCACTTCCGACGCTCCGTTATCGAGTTGTAAGAGACCTCAACTGCGGTTTGTCCGCTTGCATTGGAAGAGGTACCGTTGAATGTGTCTCGAAAAGACCTATGATTTTCCTATTGTGAGTATCCAGTTCGGCCGTTGCGTTACAAAGATATTCACGTTTAAAATTTTAACTCTTAATGACAGCATCTCGCCCAAATCTTATGGTACCTATTGGCCATTGAGGAAATGAGTTCCGTTGTTTTCCAAAGAGATTTATTGCATAAATCGGAATGTTGGCATCTATGGGTCTCATGTTGCTGGCAAACGTGAATAAAAAATGCCACAAAAATATACCAAATACATGTTTGATAAGTAGGTATATAATAATAATAATAATAATAATAATAGCTTTTATTGAATATTGAAGGCTCCTACACCATATTCAATTGGAATGCACAGGGTCAGATAAACTGAAGACAGTTATCTGTTCTTCCCCCTGTAACCACAATAAAATCTAGGTATAAAATAAAATTGCAATGACAACCATATATACATAATTAACATAAACATATACTATCCTATGCTTGTAACTAAATATCTAGCATAAAACTTAAAAAAAAAAAAAAATTTTCCGGTAAGCAGTATATAAGTATTACAATAGGTACGACAAGTAACTAAAGAATCACGACCTACTTGTAAGTATTGTCCTTTTCATCGCCCTCTTAAATGAAACCTTTGATAAACTCAGAAATTTAAGATTTTCTTTCTGATTACCAAATTTGCAGATGTTGTAACTGAAGGATCTTTGAAATACTGACGTAGAGAAAGATGGAGTAGATAACAAACCTCGATATCGCAAATTTAGGTGGTGAATATCTGTTCTAAATGTTATCCTATTATATAAATAAGGAGGTGTTCTATCATTAATAATTCTGTGATAAAAGCACGAGGAGTGTAACTGCCGTCTTTCCTTCATATTCAGCCATCCTATTATGGGAAGTGTATGGGAAATCTTTTCATATTTTCGTATGCCAAACACAAAACGTAAGCAAGAGTTTTGAACTCTCTGAATTCTATCACGATCTCTAGCCAATAGACATGGTCCGTAGACAACGTCAGAGAAATTAAAGTGTGACAAAACCAGAGCATCACATAGTACAGCTTTGTGTTTGGTACTAAGAATACGACGGCTGCTATACAAGAAACGCAAATGGCCGTACGCCTTGGCAATCAGATATTCAAGTAACGAAGTCATCATTTAATTTTTACGTTGAAATCCTCATAAAGGTGAATAAACGTAGTAATTTTAGACGAATTGCAATTCTTAAGTATTGACTTTTTGCTAGTGGTGGGGCAGAAAAACTGATAAAAATACAAGGAACCGGGATTTAAAGGCATTAGATGGAGGTGCAGATCTGAAATGGGAAGAAATTAAACTAGAGATAGGTACGGAAGCTAACGGAAAAGAATAACAATGTAGCAGTTTGCGTAAGGGGAGAGAAGCTGGTGTATGTGGACCTGTACAATTGTACCTAGTTACAGAGATAATTCAGAGGAGGCGCTGTGAAGTCATAGTGGCTGTAACTGGAATGCCAAGTCAAGCATACAAAAAAAATCTGCAGTTTGCTCGAAAGCAAGCTGGATATAGAATTGAAGAAGAGACTACCTAATTTTGTTTGGAGCAAGGTTCTGAAGCATGGACCATAATGAAGAAAGACGATAAAAAAATAGAAGCTTTGTATGGAGAAAGAATCTAATGATCAATTGGAAAGACAGCGCGAAGAATTAGGAAATACTGGAAAGTTGGTGAAAGGAGTACAATCATCGGCATCATTAACAAAAGAAAGAGAAATTGAGTGAGTCGCGTGTTGAGAAAAACTGTGATGGAAGGAACTGTGGACGGCAGGGGGAATAGAGGAAGGAAGGAAAATGAAGTAAGGGAGCAACGAAGAGGAACTCGTCATGAAATTTTAATAATGATAAGCTGTTATCGTCCGTATTAAGTTGTGTTAGCCCACCGACATTACAAGAGCTTTTTGAAGTAATTTCTTACAACCCTTTTTACGCTGTTGGTTCCTCTACTGTCGAAATCGGTGGATGACACGCACATTTGCTCCTACAACGGCAGTTGAACGATAAAAAAAGAAAGATGAAACTAAAGTAGTTTCAGACGAATGGACGGATGGTCGCGTTTGGCAAATCGTGAAAATGGGCAAAAAAGTAATGTTACATGATCTCTATTGAAATATTTTCTACGTGATTACTTTTGGATTCGATCGTTTCTGGAAGGATCTGATTCGAACTGCTTGATTTAAAATGCTATAATCGGCCTACGGGGATGAAAAAATTAATTTCACATTTATATTTGAATTGGGAAGATATGTAGGATCGGGTGGTCTTTCTTTGTATTTTTTAAAAGTAAATTCAACATGGCAGTGCAATAATCGTGCCGTTAAATGTTTCACAGTTCCTTGGTCTGTATGAAAGGACTTTTAAATGAAGTGCGTATATGAAAACTTCTCTTTATTAAATCCTGAACTGTTTCAATACACAGAAATTTTTTCTAGTTCAGCTTTGTAACTTTTCAAATTTTAATTTAGAGTCCTATCGAAGCAGATGCATATTATTAGAAGTAAAAGTCGTTATGAGGAGCAAAAAGTTACCTATGCTTATGAAAGTAAAGAATCGTTACAATAGCAAAAAGTTTACTAAAGTGCTCTATCAATGTGTCTCTTCAGTGAAAGGCAAAAAATACAAGGATTATAATCAATCACCTCGTATACTGCCAGTTATTTTTTAAAGACTGGGCTGTACACACGCTTGTATAAAAATCCATCTCCTTTACAAGTTCTAATCGCTAAAATGCATCACATTGAATTATTCAAAAGACTCATTTTATGATAAACGTCACCGGATGAATAGTAATAGTAAGTTGCTGTAATAAATTTGAGCGCAAGAGATAAGTCCGCCGCCGCCGCCGCCTGATAATTTGCGCAATATGTAGAACTTCCATACTCTCCGAGAGATTAACCAATTTCCTGACACGGTAAGGAAACTCGTTATACTAATTGCATCTTGATCATGAGCTACTTCTTGAGCGAAACCAATAGTATTTGTGCTGAAATAGCAGTCGATGCAATTTAGAGATAATCTGACCCCTTTCTCAGTTTCGCCACAGAACCTGACCTAGCCCAAAATAAAAGGGGCGAAGAAAATCTTAATTAAAATTCGAATTTGTGGTTCAACTGTGCGGTGTAGATTAATACAGTGTAAAAACCTACACAAATA